TTTGTGAGCAGCAATGTGTAAAATAATAGCTGTCAAAGCAGAACATCACAGATATGACTATAGTAATAATAATCCACATCAGCAGTGATCATATTTAAGGTAAACAGAACACAAACATTTAAAGAATTTTTCTTCCAAAATTATATATATTTTAGTGGCATCACATACAAATACACACATACAGATAGTTTGATGATGGTGTAATATGGTTCATAAAAACAGGAAAACTTGTCATTTATTGTTTTGGAAYGTTTATTTTGAAAGATCAATGAAATTATTTGATAACACTCACTGAGGAGACTCAAACAGCTGAAATTGATGGCTGGCCTGGCCTACTGAGAATGTATAAACACTTGTGGTCTCTATACCAAMTTGGCTCATTAATGACGCAACCTTGTAAGGAAGCGTAGCATTGGGGGACGCAGACGTACAAACTTAAGTCTTCGGGCTTTCCGAGCAGCATAACGAGGTTTGTGGATTCTCATTGTCTGTTGTTGCAGGTTGCTTGGCTCACGCTGGGACTGCTGTGGTGGGAAACCAGGCAGCTTGGGGTGCTGTGGGAGGTCTCTAGGTTTCTGGGGAAGGTAGTCAGACCCCATTGGATACTGAGGCTGCTGAGATGGGTAACCACCATTCTCAGAATGCTGGAGCTGCTGTGATTGTTGGGGCATGCAGCGTGACCCTACRGAGTGTGGGCAGTGCTGATGGTGATGTAAATAGTCAGGCACATTCTGGACCTGGGGGTACTGATGGCCTTGAGGTAGATAGTCAGGCCACTCAGGGATCTGGGGTAGGTACCTCAGTGATTTGGGTTGCTGGAATTTTTGAAACAAGAACATAGTACCCTCTGGACCCTCGTGGTTTTGGGGCTGCTGGGGCAAATCTTTTAGCCCACTGGGGTGTTGGTGATGCTGCTGCTGATGTGAGTAGATAGGCACACGTGGATCCTGGGGCTGCTGGGGTTGACGGGGTGAATAGTAGCTGGGATCCTGGGGGTACCAAGGAAGTTGTGGGTAGTTTGTCACTTCAAGGTGCTTGGCAGGATGTGGCCCCTTGGGGTGCTGGGGTTGTTGCAGGTAGCTGGGCAACTCAGAGTGCTGGGGGAGCTTTAGCTGGTTTTGCTGCTCAAGGTGTCGGGGCACCCATGGAGGCTGCTGTGCCTGATTACCAGAATCACGTGCCCATGGCTGTTGAGAATACATTGATGGAAAGAAAAATGATCACCAAACTTTGTTGTCATTCCTGCATGGTTCTGTTGGATCTGTTAACTGCATTTACGTTTGTGTAAAATCCCAAAGCATCCCATGAAGAGTCATCTTCCCAGTTGAAACCATATGGATCTAGTTGGCTTGAAACCAGAACCTTTTCATTTTCCCATTTCCCATCCAATCTGTAAGCTGTTAGATAAATATTTTAGTTCATGAATGCTCCAATGTTCCAATGCTCATTTGAATGAGTTTACCATTTACTTGATGTCCTCCAACAGCTAACAAGAACAACAGCTGCAGTCTAGACAATACAACCACACTAATTRATGCTTTGATAATACCACTTTTTATATGTAAAACAACTTAAATCTACCTTAAAAGTGTTTGCATGTCTTCAACCACAATGAGCAGTGAACTCATTCACCTCTATGTGCAATGTCAAACAAAACAACTAAACAGAAAATAATCCACTTTGACAACTTAAGTAGCTTCTCATCACCCACCTTCTTGATTAAATGAACACAGGTGTGATAAATTTTGATGCAGGTGGGTTCTCTTTAAAGAGTCATTCTTACCTGATGATTCAAGTGAACCATGAACAAATCAGAAGCAAGAAGCGTCAGTAAACTAAAACTAAAAGAAAAGTGAAAAAAATGTGGATGTTATTATGGATAGCACATACACAAGCTAATGTAGACAAATATTTTTGACTCACATTCCAAACCAGTAGATGGCGGTAATGACACCATTTGAAGAAGAAAAAAATCTCAACTGATGGGTTTACCTGTCTGCCAAACAAGTCTTCTGTTAGACAACAGTGCCTGTCGACTGAGTGCTTAGGGGATTTGTCCTGTAACTGTTGGGTTGCTRGTTTAAAATCCCTGTTCTGTCTCAGCCATTGTGTTCTTGGGCACARTGACTTGGCTGCTGGTAGTAGTTTTAGTGCTTGGCAGCCTAGCCATTGTTAGTTTGCCTCAGGGCAGCCGTAGCTACCATGTAGCTTACCTCCATTGGTGTATGAATGGTTGAATGACTGTAGTGTAAAGCGCTTTGTAGTCCATGGACTTAATAAAGAGCTACATTTAATCATTTTGAAGTAACATTACTAATTTAAAAAAAATAGAATAATCTTTAGGGGCTTTGTACATAACAGGCTACAGATTAGTCAGTGTTACTTCATTAAATTTGAATGAAGACGTATAATTCAAAAATGTTTAGCCAAACAACTACTTGAGAATGAAGTTTTCAATAAGGAATATTGCTCRGCTAGATTTTGTCGGAGAATTGTGTATAAATATTAGTTTATCATTAGTTAGTTTCTGCCTTTTAGAAACATTATTCCTATGATAAAATTACTGATAAGCATTTCTGTCAAATCAAAATAGTTTTTAATAATGAACTGAATTTCAATGATGTGAGGACCCAAGTATAACATATTATGGTTACCACATTCAGTTGTCCTTGTCCTGAACAATATGGCTGCTGCTCTCTTTAACCAAGAAAAGTCACATATAGTGCCTCTAGCCAATGCACCTCCTTGAGTTTACATGTCTGTCAAACATCTCATCTTTTCTAAGCAATAAGGCAKCACTTTTTCATTTCTAAATCATGTCTTGCCACCTTTTTTTACAGTTACTAATGCTCATAGTCAGTATTTTGCAATGCATTTTGGTCTGGATAGGGTCATACCTACTTCTGGTTTGTTGAAATACACTTAGTTTAAATAGTGTTCATAGCTATGTTTCAGCTGCGCTCTACAGACATTTAGGGACCCAGCAACATTGCTATCACAAAGTAAAATACAAACTAGATACCGCATAGCAGTAACATAATGACCCCCGCATGCAGAAATGCACCAGAACTCAGAAGATTTTATTCCTAATAAATGTCATGCTACTGGGTACATTCCAAAATCGTAGTGGCTTGGTTGGGAGG